TCTCTACTTTAATGATTTGATAACAAGGGGAACCTACATATGAAATCTAAGACAGATCTAAGAAAAACTTTCTGTGAATTAGAAATAGCAATACCAAACTTCAACTGTCGTTGAACTGCCTTCCAGTACTTCTCAAGAAATAGTGATAACAAAGTTCAACCGTCAACATCAAAAATGGCCGTCGGCCATTTTTGTTTTCTGGACCAGACTCAAAATAAGCTGGGCACAACGAGGGACCGAGGGGAACCTCCATAAGAAGTTTTTGTTCTTAAAAATGTAACAAATTTATAGGAACTATGTTAAAATAATGGTCACTAATAGAGGACTTTCTGTCCATGTTTTGTGCTTATATTTGAGCATTAAATGCTTCATTATAGAATGCCATCCCATGTTACATGTAATTGTATCACGAACGAAAATGGTAATGAATTGAAAGATTCCACATCACCTTTAAACCTATATATACTGAATTTTTAATGGTACAAAACAAGACCTGTAGGACAACTGTTTTTTTTATTAAACTTGTACAACCTACACAGTTTTATTAGACATCATTCATGTTCATGGAATTTCATCTTGTTTGGTTTTAGTACAAATGTAATATTAATTCTCAAATCTCTTCTCCATTTCGGAAGTTCTGAACAATAGGTGAATTTTTTTTTCAAATATAGGAGTTTGTAGTAAATTGAGCGAAATACAGGGAAATTACAGGAATGGACAAATATATGGGAATTCATAGGAAATGGACAACCTGCAACAGCATTTATTTTGATGGCCCAAATGCACACAAGTGAGGAAACAAATTTTGTTTTAATTTCTTAAAGTTACCTAGCAAACTATTTGTTAAATTCATGGTACTGAGTTTGAAATAGTGCATATTCCCTATCAAATCTCTTCTGCAATACCTCCAAAAGCAATAATATATTAGCCTGGCATATAAAGAAGATATTTGAATATTGTAGATATAACATAGCCATAATGATGAAATTTAACCAGGCAAAGTTATTTTGTCATCGATGGACCAAACAAAAACTTCAATAATATTGAAGTAGTGCAACATGATTTTATTACCATCCAACTGAATATCTTCCAATCTTTTCCCCTTAAATTTCCCGAGCAGCCGATTGTCCATCATCAACAACAACTTAGCAATATCCACTCTTTCAATCATGTCTGATGTGCATTTGTAGTGGATCTTGTGCACATCCAGTGTATGGCCTAAGTGATCGACAATCCACTGCTGCTGTTGTGGTGTTATATCTATAGCCTGAAAGAATGAAATTTACATTTTCTTTCAATGTCACTTGGAATATTTCAAAGACCCAAAGAGATTTGGAGAAATATCTTGCCATCATGCAAGAGTCAAGAGTCCACATTTTCAAATTCTGCTGTTCTACTGCTACACAGACATACATTTTTCTTTTCTTGGTTAAAGATGGCCATGCTCATTTAAAGCATTTATAATTTGTTTTTGCATCACATGACTTCTCAAGAAATGGGGATTAAAAGAATTCTTTAAGGACAGACGGATGACGGACGATTTGAACAGCCCACCATCTGCTGGTGGTGAGCTAAAAAAGATGCAATGTATATAGCATACCATAATTTTACATGCAATGGAAACACACAGGACCTACACAAGATAGTACCTTGGGGCGGAACAATATACGCCTGTCCCATGCCACAAAGAAATACATCACTGTATTAAGGGAATACAAATATTGAAAAATTGTCTGATCAAAATCCCACAGAGAACGTACAATTTCATGTCATTACAAAGTTTGCAAAGTTTGAATGAAGTTGGTTGAAAACTGAGGGTGAGGATCTACAGAGATAAACATGTACAGGCAATAACTTTTGAAAAATAGTCGAATCAAAGTGCCGTTCACAACTACATATCATGATGATAGAGCATACTAAGTTTCAAAGAGATCAGTTAAAAAATGTAGGAGGATATTTCAGGACAAACAAAAGTTAACACCAGACGGACTGGCGGGCGACGCCATACCATAAAACCCCCGTCAAATTTTGACGGCATATAAAAATGGGGAAAATTAAATAACTTATTGTCAATTGAAACATCAAAGCAGTCTGGGATACACATTGACTTGTGTTTAAAAAATTCACAACAAAGTCTGGAGGTTTTAGATTTCCTAAGGGAAAAATCAGTGAGACACATGAGAAATTTATTACCTGACAAAGAGTTGCCATAAGCCGACGCATATTTGTTCCTCGGATTCTTTCAGGATGTTCAAGCCCAGCAGCCCCAGTAACGGATCTAACAGCGTCGTATCCCCGTATTATGCCTTCTCCTAAAAGAAAGCATAATGTTTTCATTTAAATTTTATTCAAAGAAGATCTAGGTTTGTTCAAAGGGGTCTTTGATACTTTTGGTTGGAATTTAAATTAAACCATACTGTATGTCATGTTAATCGAAATAATAGCAGCATTTAGCACATGTACATGTATAACCAGTAATTTTAACCAAATGGGCCCCACATTATCAAGATGGCCACCTTAGTCAGTTGGATCAACTTGGTCCCAGTCACCAGGTGTCTTACACCATAGTTTGCTGTGGTGATTGCTAACATAAGAAAGTTTTTTTATCAACTGAATTGTACAACATTGTATAGTTTACATATAATTAATGCGGCATACATTTTTATCTCCAGAATAACCATGTACTTACTGTTGCTGGCAAACACATAGGGATTCCTTTCAGTTACCCCAGCACTCCTGCGTACATCGTTACTGGTGAGAAATTTCAATATCCTCCTCGCATGTTTTGGCACAATCACTGGCACAAATTTCCCACACTGTTGATAAACCAAGAAAAATATGTTTGTCCACAGAGACTAAATCTGTTTTTCTATGTTAATAAAATATTTTTAAGTTAACTATCTTAAATGAATCTCTGGCACAAATGTATTTTGTTCCTCTCTTTTAAGTTCAATTAAACAATATCTAGAAAGTAGGACTCCACAATAAACCAACAAGTTTGCATTATCTGATCAAATTTAATCAACTTCATCAGCAATTTAAGTGATACAAACTGATCTGTAATATCTCTTTGCTTGAATCAGGATAATTTAGTAATTGTAAATTATCTATATGTTGCTAAATAGTCGTTGTAAATATGACTATGATCTTCATTGGCTGGCAGCCATTTTGTTCTTCCATTTAGTCTTATGAAAAATAAATTCAGTATATATATTACCTTTCCTCTGATTTCAATTACATCCTGATCTTCGACGAGCTGTTTTTCAAAGTTGGTCAGGTTACCCGTCAATTCAACTGCTACCTCATCGAGGCCAGTTTTTCTTTTCTCATATGCAGTTAGTCTGTTAAAAAATATAAAAATGCCTTGAATGTACGTGTGTTCACTGTATTTGGTTTTGACAGACTTCTGGAAATAATTAAAAGAGACCCATGGGCCTTATCAAGTTCTGATATATATACTGATAGATGTTTTGGTTTTAAAATAAGATTAAATCATCTCATTCGGTGACCTTGAAAGTAGGTCAAGGTCATTCATTTGAACAAACTTGG